CATTATTTTACAATTGACCAGAGAGAAGTTCTAGGTCAGAAGGCAGTCCACCGGCCAAATTCTTTTTTTTTTTTTTTCATACTTTTTAAATGTTAAAATTGAGCTTTTATGTAAAATTCTGATTTTTTAAACATAAAATTCTAATTTCTGACATCACTTGAAAGCAGGGCCGGGGATATAGCTCAGTGGCATAAGTGCTTACCTGGCAAGCCTGAGGTCATGAGTTCGATTCCCCGTACCAAAAAAGAAAGAAAATTGGAAGAGCAGTTACCTGGGCTTGAGTTCCCACGAGGCCTCGGTCAGCTGGAGGTGCGCTGTAGCCGCTCCTTTGAGATGGAGCCTGTCTTCCTGAACAGCAGGCTCCACCTGTCACCTTCATTAATTTGTTACCTAACTGTGCCTGGATGCATTTGGGTTTGTGACCTTGAAGTCCTGTTCTAAGTACCAGCTTTCCCAAATGCTAAGCTTATTTTCCAGGTCCAAGACCCATCTTCCCTCCCATGGCAGCTGCCTGTTACACCCGAGCGCTGTAATCAGCCAGCCTGGCCAAAGCCGATTCGACCTCTGAACCGAGCAGAATCACCTAAACGTTCTCCTAGGAGTGTGGAGCTGGGACTTAGTAAAGTTATTTCATTGCTGCATGTAGCTAGAAGTGTGACTGCTAATGTGTGTAAAGCAGACAGAGTCCATGTGGAGAAAGGCAGGGAAGCAGGGATGAGGCGGGCCCTCAGGACCCACAAGCTTCCGCTGTACGCTATAACACACCCCCGTTTGCATACACTGTCTTAAAATGGTGTCCATCCCCTCTAAACATTTGTTTTACCCTTGAAAACTGCTAACTTCCTCTCTCTATGCCTGTTTCCAAATCTCTGAAAGTTTAAAAAAAAAAACCTAATTATTTCTCATCCATCTTTCCACTCAAGATTAGATTAGGGCACAAATAAGTGTCTGTATATTTATTTGAAAAGAGTAAAACACTACAAATCTAAGGTAGTATTTCAGAAGCGCTCTGGCAAATGTTTTCACAAGTGACACACAATAGATGCGGAAAAGTAGGAAAATGTGTGTGTCTAGGATACAGCAGTGCGCCCGAGGCCCTTGAAGCTTAGTGGCAGAAAACAAGTGCCCTCTGGAAGATGGAAAGCCAGGTTTTCCAGCACAGATCGGAAGAGCACACGTCTCTTGAAGCTTAGTGGCAGAAAACAAGTGCCCTCTGGAAGATGGCAGGGTGGCCCCAACATAGATGTGATATCGGACCTCCGAGTGATAGAGGGGAAATAACTATAACTCCCAATCGGCTAGGTGTCAGATATGCCAAGATCGCGTTCCCCAAAATCTAAGAATGAATTGCGAGGACAAGTGAGGTTAAGCATAGGACATTTTATTGAGAGAGCTCCGGTGGGGACCTGGAAAGTGGGTTCCTCACCAGCCCACTCTCAAAGAAAGTTTTATAGAGCCAAATCAGGAGGTGGATACAAAACCACCAACTAGGTGTAACGTGGGTCAAAACTACGATCAACCAGTAAGGTTACAGGAATAATCGCTTGGGCAATATTGATCCAGTGGGGAAGCAAGTCATGTAGCAGTGTACAGGGAAAGAGGAGGGCCTTTTTGGAAGAGACAAGTCGGGAGGTCCTAGTCCTAGGTGACTGATGCTCCTCTAGACCTTAGTGGACCTGGTAATACTGATTATAGTATATTCCTTATCCCTCGAGGAGGTATGTAGGTCCAGTCATTCCTTTTTTTTTTTTTTTTTTTTTGTTTTTCTCCGGTACCGGGAACCGAACTCACGACCTTGCGCTTGCCAGGCAGGCGCTTTGCCGCTGAGCTAAATCCCCAGCCCCCAGTCATTCCTTCTTTACCTTGAGGTGTGACCTTGAACAACTGCGCCTCCAGCCACAGCTGTGATGTGTTCTCATCTTCTGCACTGGTGCCCGGCCTTCGAGGGCCCAGCCCTGTCTGCCTGCCTACAATAGTCCCACCAACTTAGGGGTCTAAAGACCTGGACTTCGCTCCTCTTCAGGGCTAAGCATTAAGTGCTCCTTTCTAAACACGACCATGGAGGAGTTATCGCTTCTCTTCGGGACTTTTGCACAGTGTCAACTTCCTTAAACAATTTCCCTAGTCACTGGGAGATGAATCAGCCAAAAATTTCCGAATGAACTCTGCAGTCTTTTAGGTGCTCAGGGGCGCAGTCAAAACTCTAAATTGCCAGGGATATAGCTCAGCGGCACATGCACCTGTCTGGCAAGCATAAGGTCCTGAGTTCGAGTCCCAGCACCAAAAAATGTGTAAATCAGGGGGAACAACTTGGTTAGGACAATTGCCTCCTTACATTTCTTAAATCCGAACAAGTCTTAAGACTCAGATTAAAATTTGCTTATTTTTGAATGTGATGACCTGTTAAGGAAGTAGATGTTAACCTTGCTTGCCATGGTCTCTGTAAAGAAAAACAACCGCAGTCCTGTTTAGGAACTAATTTAAATATAATGTATTCAAAGTGGTTTTTGTGAGGTTGTACTTACAGTATATTGGTCTGAATAGTATTTCTTTCATAGGGGATTGTCATTGTGTATGTTTATCAGTGGAAGACACTAAAAACAAGACCTACCTTTTCTACCCAGGAGCAGTAGAAGAGCTATGCAATCAATACTAAAATTACCTGTCCAAAAAGAAAGGGATGTTCATAAAGCCGTAACATGAAAAAGGAACTCGGTCAATACCTGGTGTTACCAGACAAATGTATCCGAGTGAATTCTGAGTAATTACTTGATGTCTTAAAAGGGTCCCCCCTAAGTTATCCCGTTCTAAAAAACAAGGCGAGGAAAGAGGGAAAAATTATGCCTTAATGTATGCACAGGATAGCTAAGATAGTTGTATCTACTGCTTTATTGAAAGGAACAGTTCACGTGGAATTGTTTGATCAATCTTACAGGCCTGTATTGGTTTATCTGAGTGACCAATTTGAAGATACAATATATGATGCAACCACCACTGTTAATTTCCTGTCGCCTTGTCTGGAAATATGTATTGCTTGTATTGTTTTCGTGTTGTTTTGTAAATGTTTGTGTGTTTGTTAATATGCTTTCGTTCTTTTATCTTTAAAATAAAAAAATTTTAAAAATTAAAAAAAAAGAAAAACAAGGCGGGGAGCACCCT